AAAAAAAAAAAAAGGTCTTCAATCTTAAACAGTCATTGTTCCTAAATACAAAAACTAAAGGAATCTCAAAAATTTCCTTAGAAACCACGCCTTGTGGGATTGTAGGTTTGGTCACTACACAGGGAAGGCTGGAAAAGTGCCTCCAGAGGCAGAAGGGAGGCCAGTGAAGAGTATTTGAGGTGTGTACTACTGGAAAACATCTTCCTAACCCCTTTAGCTCTTTAAGGCTTCAGAGCAAACAGGGAGGCTTGCAGACCATGGCTATCACCCCAGGTGTGGCCCTCAGGGCTGCACTCAGAGCCTGTTCCCTTCTGAGTCCTGCATATGAGAGGAACTGCCATGAATGGCTGAAAACAGTGATCATGCCTTTCATTAAACCTTCACCAAGCCTTCAGAGCTATACCGATCAAACATTGCCGCAGTCTGGCTGGGCACAAATCACGAGCCACTCAAGCAGGAACAAACTTTATTTCCAAACTCCACCAGCACACTCCCCGGGAACTCTCCCGAACGTCACCCACGGCTCCTCCAGGAACACACCACACACCAACCGGAACTCCCACCACTGGAACTTCACCAACCAAGGAGAACTCTTCAGGAATCCCCGCAGAGCTCAACCGGAACTCAACGGGAACTCCGTGAGAACTCAAAAGTCTCATCTTAATGGCTCGCTGGAGTCACCTCTCAACCACTACTTCTGGCAAAAATGCCATGCGTCATCCTGACTCGGCTGTGGCCCTCAACAAAACATAGTGATGACTTAATTGCCACTCCCTTTCTTGTCCTTGGAGCTCCAGCCATGGAGAGCTCCTTTCAGTTCCCCAAACCCACTGGGCATTCCATGCCTCTTCCTGACCTCACCTCCTCATCCTCACCCCAAGTTGTGACGGACGAATACATGTTTACCCTCCATCTGGAAGTGCTCCCATATCACACCTGGTGAACCCCTGCTTATCTTTCCAGACTCCAGGGAAGCCTTTCTTCCCTTGAGTTTTCCTTGCCTCCTGCCCCCACTGAGAAGAAGTACCCCCCCACACACACACACACAGCCTGGGAGGACTCAGGGTGGCCCCAGTATAATCTGATAGCACAGCGAACATTGAGGTTGACCCCCCAGTATCTTCCCACTCCAAAGGTGAAGATGCCGTTCTTCTTGATAGTGACTACTCACAAGTGGCCACATAGTTTGTGCTTTTCTCTGCTCACCTGAACAGCCTTGAGAATTGGGTCACATGCACACATGAGCCAGCTTCTGTGCACATGTGTCAGGTGGAGGCTGGTTCGCCTGCAGCAACTTTCTTACTGGAGTGGGAACTGATGGAGCCCTCCCTGCTCCTTCTTGAGAAGGAGCCAAAAATGAACCCAGCAGTAGCTGCTTGTCACACAGGGGCTCAGACCCAGGAAACAGATTTGGGGTCCCAGCAGGTGGAAGAAGATGCGAGACACAGTTAGGATAGTAGACATACTTTATTCAGAGGTGGTAACAGTTTCTAGCCTCCACTCTCAGCTTTAGCCCCGAGCCAGGTCCACTCTAGGCCCCTAGTTAGCCCATAGGCCTTTTTTATATGCAGGCCAAACAAAGAAGATTTGTGCCAATAGGTTACACAAAAGGGCACATACTCACAAGTTAATGTTTATGACCTTGAGTGTGTGTGTGTGTGTGTGTGTGTGTGTGTGTGTGTGTGTGTGTGTGTACTGAATCTGAGTGTTCTGGCCTTGACTAACCATAACAGAGCCAATTCCCAGCCCTGGCTACACACTACAAATAACATAGCCCATCAGAAGGGAGGCAAAGGAGCCTAACTACAGCCATTTGGGGCCTACCCAACACTGCTTCTCTTGCTTTTGGGTGTTTGGGGGGTGGAAGACAGGGCTCTGTTGTCTTCTAGTTGACCCCAGGCTGCAGGATTTCCTCATTAGGCTCCACCTGGACAGCCTTCTTTCTGCTCTCTTCTCTAATCTCTCCCTCTCCACCATCAGGCCTCTCTGAGGTCTCTTTCCTCCACAGGCAGTAACTAACTTGTCAGCACTTACCAGTGGTCATGAGCTCCCAGGCTTGCACGCCAGCCCCTTTCCAGCTGCTTCTACTCATAGGAAATCCACAGGAGCACTAGCCATTCTCTAGCTTCATTTACTTGCCAGGCACTGCATTAGATGATTTATATACATTACTTCATTTAATTCTCATGACAATTCTGTAATTATTCTTTATTCCCAGTTTGCCGATGAGGATGCTGAAGCTCACAGGAGTGAAGTAACTTGCCAAGATCACACAAGTAATAAACAAAGGGAACTGGGATTCAAGGCTCTCGTGCAGCATAGGGAGGGTGCATTGTTGCAGCCTCACTCACACAGAGCTGCCTACTTGCCTTCTGTGCTTCCCAAGCACCAGCTCTGTTCAGCTTCTACAAAAGGTCTCAGCAGCATCAATCCATATTGACGGCAATGGCTCTGGGGTCTGCTCACAATCTTGTGGAGGGAACTGAGGGTTTCTAGCCCCAAGGAGGATGAGTAAAGAGAATTCTGGCCCTTGAGCACTGTAAGTAGGATGATTTTGGAAAAAATCAGATGTCTCCAGACCCTTCAGGAGATGGGCCTATGATGCAAGGGGCACCATGCCCACTAGGTGGCAGTAGAGAACCAGCAGAGGCCAGAAGGTACTAGGGTTCAAGTTCTAACCCTTAGGCAGGTGCAAGGGATGTAATAGTGGTCTGAGCTGGGACCAAGAGGTAACAGATGACCATCCATCTCATAAGAATAGTTCACTCTGTTGTTAAGCATGTTGGTGTCCGATACCATACCAAGCACTTGATAAGCATTATCTCTTTGAACCTGGGAATACTGTTAACCCCATGGTTTGGATGTATATGCTGAGAATTTCAGAGGTTCCTGAGTTGCCCAAGATCCTGCAAACTGAGGAGATGTAGTTCAGGCAGGTGAGCTAGAGCCCCTTCCAAGGACAGTTCTGCCAGGGAAGGAAAGGCAGTCATTTGCAAGTGTCGAGGGTGAGGCAGGTAGGACCTGGCTTGGGAAGACTGGAGGTGGAGCCTGAGGCTGAGGCCAGTCCAAGGACAGTCAGTAGGAGTCTAGTCAGGGAGAAGTTCTGGGGGCTTCCAGAAAATATGATGTGGTAGGACTTTCAGGCTGAGGGTCCCAGTGAACCCTTATTTCAAGAATTATACTCATGTTTGTCCTGGTCATGTTACCTTGAAGGACTGGGCACTCAGAAGCCACAAACCACTTAAAGATCCAAAGAGGCCAGGCTCAGTGGTAGACACCTGTAATCCCAGGGGATCAGAAGGCTGAGGCAGGGGAAAGAGAGTTCAAAGCCAGCCTGAGCAAGTTAGTGAGGCACTTAGAAACTCAATGAGACCCTGTCTCAAAATAAAAAATAAAAAAGGGGGGACTGGGGATATAGCTCAGTTGGTAGAGTACTTGTCTTGCATGCACAAGGTCCTGGTTCAACTCCCAGCATCACCAAAAAAATAAAAATAAAAAAAGGCTGGGGGTGTGGCTCAGTGGTTAAGGACCCCTGGGTTTAATCCCTAGTACAAAACAAAACAAACAAAAAATAACAATAGCAACACACACACAAACCAAAGAGATAAAGTTCTGTGAAAGTTCTGTCAGGACTCCCTCCCTGAGATTAAAAAAAAATCACTGGAGAGAGGTGTCCTGTGACCAACAGGCTGGGCCTGGACATGGAGCCCTCTCTGAGGAAGGGGTTAGGACAGTAGCCTTGCAGTCTCCACCCTGGAAAGATGCCTCCTGAATCAGCTCCCAACACCAGAGAACTCAAGTGAGAACTGGGACTTCACCTGACTCTGATATCCAGGTCAGCACCACTCTCCTCAGTGGTTGTACCACTAGTCATCCAGGGGTCCAGGGGAAGTGAAGAGTTCAGCCTAGCACAAACCTTGGCCTTCTTAGTTTAGAACTGCAGCCTTCTTTGAAGACTAGCAATCACTACTAGGACTTTCTGGGAGTTACAGGGAATAACACTGAGATTCAGGTTAAAATCGCTCTCTCCAATTCACTAACAGGGGCTTATATTCTTCCCAATTTGCATACAAAGTCTCCTGGGCCAGCCCCAGTTCTGGGAACCCAGACCAAGTCATGTTCTATTGTTCTGCCTCAGGGCCTTTACACTGGTTGTGCTGAAATGCTTTTCTTTCAGGATTTTTTTTTTTTCCTCCAGCATTAGGGGACAAGCCTAGGTTCTTGCAATTGCTGGGCAAGCACACTTTACCAATGAGCTACATCCCCAATTCCTCTTTCTCTATCTTTTCATGGCTGACCTCTTGTCATTTAGATCTGTTTAAATCTTTCCTTCTTTCAGAAAGGTTTTCCTCAGTTTTGCTTAATAAGGATCAACTCTTCTTTTTCTGTTTTGTTTCTCCCGTTACCAAGTCCAGTGATGGCTATTGAAGTATCCAGTTTCCGGTAGAGTGATACTGCAGTCACACAGGGCAGCTCCTGTCCACAGACCAGCATAGAAACTGGAAAGGCATAGGATCTGAAAGGAATGGGGTCAGAGGGCTCAATTGTTAGGGTGATGGGAGCTTTGTGGTCACTTAACTCAAGTTCTTGGCCAATAAGAACTCTCACATTCCTTAATTCTGGAGGGACTTTTGTTTTGAGGGTCTTTGATGGCCACTTAGCAAAGGTGACTACAGTGTCCCACTGAAACACTTCTGGGATATATACATTTGACTCCCAAGGTAGACTTGGATGTTAAGTGCAATTATCCTGGCTTCAGTCAGATTCATAGTAGGTCATATTCCACCTTGAAAGAGAAAACTTCATCTTCCCTTTGTAAATGCGTGGAAACTCACTGTCCCCACTGGGAAATTAACCCCAGGTCATCACAAAGAACTCAAGGAGCTCAGCTTGGGAAGTTTTAGAGATCTTCTAATTGCTCTTATTGGATGTGAAAGTGTGGGACTGGATGATCTCCGGATCTGAACTTACAGGTTCTTCAACTCTTTGCGGTAGAGATGAGGGAGAGTCTAGGGTCCCCAATTAAATTTGGATTTCAAATAAACAGAAAAAAAATTTTTTTTTTACTATACGTCCCATGCAGTATGTGGGACATATTTACACTAAAAAATATTACATAAGACATAGTTATACAGAAACATTATTCATTATTTATCAGAAATTCAAGTTTCACTGGGTATTCTATATTTATCTAGCAAGCCTACAGAGAACCAGCATTTAAAATAAATGACTTCCCCAGTCATTTGATGAAGCATTGAAACTGGGGAAAACAGAGGCCATAGTGAGCTGTGGGTTTTTTTTGAAGGTGTAATGAAGTCTGTTTCTTTCATGCCAAATAAGCAATTACAGACGACCCCGTCAGGAATTCAAACCCGTGACTATCATGCGACTCAACCAAGGAAAAAAAAAAAGTTAAAAAGATTAAGAGCCAGAGAAGCAATCTTCACACACAAGGCCAGCGAGCAAGCAAAGGACTAGCTCATCAGGGACGGTAAGGACATCCCTTTTCACTGTCATTGTGTCCTATTCTTCCAGAACAGGGCCTGGGAAATGCTGGTGGACCTCTCTGCTGCCCTCATTGCCTACCTGGTTAATTATTAACAGGATTTCTCCTCAACATGTGTACTTCTCCAACTTCTGGGTATTCACAGTCTCTTCCTAGATTCTCTGTCCTCTGCAACTTTTGAGAACAGTGATTATTCCTGGAGTGCAGGACAGTCTGCTGGTGACTAGCAGCTCCCTGTCTAGATGAACTCTCCTGCCATTTGCAGGACCACATCTCATATTTGAGTGGGATGAGGTGCATTTGCTGTCCCTGTACTGTTTGTTGAGGCTCTGAGCTTGAGGTATAGATGTACAAAAACAATTTAAGCAGAATTAATTGGGTTTCTTGTCTATAATTTTGGAGAGCATTCACCCCTACATTACCCACCTGAGGTGATTGATGAGTTCAACTATAATTTCTTTTTTACTACTGGGAAGGGCAAATTACACATAAAACGCCCCCAGTGGAAAGGAGTCATGTGGTAAAACCCCCACTCTGCTCTCCATTCTCTCTGATGTTCAAATTGGAGCCCATTAATATAACTCTGTGGGGATCAGGACTTTGAAATTCATAGAAATCGAAAGGGAAGAAAAATACACAATAGTAAGGAGAGAAGTTTCCATTCTTGGTTTTTAATGAGCTCACTTTAATTATAACCACTGCGGTTCATGAACTTCTTATTTTTCTTTGTATATATTATAATATTAAAAATTGTTTTAGGGCTGGGGATGTGGCTCAAGTGGTAGTGCGCTTGCCTGGCATGCGTGCGGCCCGGGTTCGATCCTCAGCACCACATACAAACAAAAATATTGTGTCTGCTGAAAACTAAAAAAAAAAATAAATAAATATTTAAAAAATTCTCTCTCTCTCTCTCTCTCTCTCTCTCTCTCTCTCTCTCTCTCTCTCTCTCTCTCTCTCTCAAAAAATTTGTTTTAACCCCTATCCATGAGTTGTGAACTAAAGGGAAGCAGAAATTAGTCTAGGTGAAAGGGAAAAAAATTGTCAGGCAAAGTCAAGTCCTGAGCTTCCTTGGCTTATTTTGGGTGATGTGCACAGGGCAAGCTAAGACATGTGTGGGGTGGAGTTGGAAGACACTATGCTTGGTTGCTCTGCTTTACACACCCATGGCCCAGCTTGATCAGGGGATGCTTTGAGAAATACACATTATCTCATCCTAGCCACTGTCCAGATCAGGGAATGATATAAAATACTAACTCTGGAGAGTTACTAGAAATTATAGTTAAAACATTATAATTGATCTCATTAATCACCTCAGGTGAGTAATGTAGGGATTACTAAGAGTTACTAAAGTCTTGTTTTATTAACCAGTGTCCTAGGTCAGGGAAGGTCGAGAATGAATAGAAATGTGTTTTGTTTCTTTTTGCTATAAGTTTATATACAGAGTCAAATTGAAGACAAATGAAGAGCACTCCCCCATAATAATTTAGTTTGAAATATTTTTGGCTTTCATGTGTAGTTTCTTCTTCAAGATTAATTTTCCATTAGTGGAAGGGACTTTCTAAAGTCCTGGATGTTAGTGAAAGAAGTAGATACAAATCCTCTCAGAGAGAGAAAAACCAGAAGGTCCCCCTGTCAATTCCCATCACCTGGCAACAATGTCTTTGTGGATCTTTATGAGATATTGCATAAAAACACTTTAGATACACTAAATGATGCCCATGTGCCTCTCTGTTAGGTGTCCTGTGCCGTGACCCCACAAGATGCCACAAGAAGAGGCTCACTTCATCTATGGTAACCTCAGGAAGGGGCACAGTTATTCTTACATTACAACTGAAGAGTAAGTTCAAAACAAGACCCACTAGGATTTTCAATTTGCCAGACTGCTGACTCCACCTACACAAGCCTGTGTACACATCTCCCTGTGTTTATCTCCCCAGACAGTAAAAACCCTGACAATAAAAGGACACCTTAGGGTCCTATAAGGGGGCTCTCTCAAGCTTCTCTTGGGCCAAACAGGAAGGGAGATAAGTTGGATCTTGCTGTTCTTCTCCCTGCCACCACCCAGGCATCTTGCTATTCTTGTCTACATTCTGGGGTCTTAGCTGTAGGTTCCCAAGCTGGAAAACACCTGCCCAGGATCAAGATGCTTTTTCCCTCAAACTTTGTTCTGTCAACTCCACTCAGGCTCCTGAAGGTGCTTTGCAGACAGAATAAAGTTGACTTGCCAAAGAGCCCATGAGGATGAGGTGCAGGTGTGTGGACTGATTTCAGGATGAAGATTGTGGCCATGACCTTTGCATTATAGCCTTATCCTACAGAAGGGTGTTTGGTATTATGAGTTAATTAAAAATAAGTATTTATGTGATTAGCATTTCCAAGTGCTAGGCATTGTATACCAGCCCAAGAGTTAATCTCAGCAAGTGTAAGTGCTGTTAGGGGAACACAGAGGCTGCAGGACATACCCTGTGAAGGGTAGGTGTCCAGGTGGAAGGGTGGGCGCCACCCTCTGAGCAGGGATTCCAACAGGACAAGGAGCCAGACTTTTATTTGGACCATCTTTTATGTGGTCTATTAAAAACTCCCTGCAAATCTCTACTTTTGGAAACAGCTGTTGAAAAATCTTCAACAGACCCAATTAACAGGAACAAGCAACATGAAGAATCTATCAGATACCAAGGAATAATTCAGGCTGGGAGCATTTCCTCTGAAGACCCCAGTGAGAGTCTCTCACTCCCTATATGGTCAATTAAGGAAGGGGGTGGTGGTAATATCTTTCAACAAGTTGTCCCAAGAATAAAAATATGCTCATTTTAGAGTGAAGTGGAGGGTGGAGAAGGTAAATTGCACATGGAATTATTTAGGATATTATTTCAGCTACTGTAAGATGACTTGACAACCTCTTCTTTAAAATGTAATTCTGACTTGGGCTATAGCTCAGTGGTAGAGCACTTGCCTAGCATGCATGAGGCACTGGGTTCAATCTTCAGCACCATACAAAAATAAACAAATAAAATATAATTTTGTTAATCTCCCATGTAGTAGTCCAAGTGTATGAAATTCAAGCTGGCCAGCCTCCCTCTCTCTGATTACTCCCCTTGGACATTGCTTTTTCTACATGGTTAGAAATGGTGTGTCATCATCTCTGTGTCTCACTAATAGAAAGGGGGAGATAAAGGGAAGGCTAGGGACATTCCTTTCAAGTGACAGGCATCCACTGCTCACCCACCATGTGGTGATGCTCACCCTATGTTGTGCTGTATGTGAGGAGAGTCTTAGAGAAAATTGGAAATGTGTATCTGGCCATGATGTTGGGATTTAAATCCAGGTTTGTTTGCTTATAATGCACTATTCTGCAGGCCAGCAGAGGCAAATATTTGCACAGTCCCATCCAACAAGAGGCTAGGGCAGAGATCAGAATGTCTACCGTGAAGCCAAAGGCTGGACGCTGGAAGTGGTCAATTCAGGAGGCTGGAAAAGAGCCGTTTTTTCTTCTTTTTTTTTTTCTTTTGCTTCACTGTATCATCTCTCCCAGCTGGGGAAGCTAATGGCCAGGTGGCATCCACAGCCCAAACAGAATTGCTCTCAGGGTCTAATCAGGAAGACAGAAACCAATCAGGCATTTCAACCTTGGAATAAGGAACTGGTTAAACAGGCGCTGGGCCTGAGGAAACAAAGGAGACTCAGAGAGGACCCAAAGGCAGGAACTGCAGGAGGCTGCTTCCACCCCTGGGGCTGGGCGAAGAACTGCTCACCCTGGGTGGGTGAGCAGTGGATGCCTGTCACTTGAAAGGAATGTCCCTAGACATTGGATGGGACTATGCAAATATTTGCCTCTGCTGGGAAGTGTGGGGCCGTCGGAACTTGAAAGAGAAGGGACCCCACAGAAATGGGACCCACAGTTCTGAGGAAGGATTTCTGCTTAGTTGGTCCTGGGGCTTCAGGAACTTAGAGGAAGGCCTATGGATTAAATGCTCAGACCTCTGTGGTGGGCACTGATCAGCTAGTGAGAAGCGTAAAAGGCCTGGTCCTGGAGTGGCAGAAGTAAAGCTGGTGAGTGGGACTAATGGTGAGAAGAACTGCCTCTGGGGCTATGCTAACTGGAGGGAACACCCCCTTCTTCCTCTTCCAGTCTAGTGGACTCCCTCTAGGTGCTAATGGGAGCCAACGAGCAAAAAGAGAAGTGGGGTTTGTAGAATTCGACCCCAGTACCTCAGAGCAAGCATAGAAAGGTGGGTTTGAAGTTGGGGAACAACAGCTTAATAGAAGGCATATGGAGTTTATTACCATCATCATATAAAGGAGTCTCTGACAGAAGCCCAAAGCTTTCTGTCTTGCATCCTGAACAAAGGACTGATGCAGAGTCAGGTGGATTCTCTGGTAGCTTCCCTGAGAACACAGGGGAGCCTCAGGCTCTAGCCCTAAAAACAAGTGAACAAACAAACAAAACCCCCAAAACCCCATTTGACCTGTATGTGTGGGAGTGGTCTTTGCACAAGCAGAATGCCATTTCCTTTGACATTTTGCTGTCTGTATGAAGGTCAAATGACCAAAGCTCCCACAAAGTGACTTTCTTAACCTCAGTCTGTGTGGGCAGGAACCATTGAGTACATAGAACGTCATGATTTTATGCAGGGTAGTGCAAGACTAATCACTTCTGCATAAGGCCACCAATGTCAGGACTTACCCTCATCTGACCTCCTATAAACAGGAGGATGGAGATAGGGAAACACGGACAGCTGTACTGTAGCAATAAGTCTCTGAGATTCTCTGAGAATATTTATCCTTCTCACAATCTTACCACCAGATAGATTGAGGAAGAACAATGTGAAGTAGGCAACCCCAAAAAGGGCTTTGAAACCTTAGTAGATAAGGGATCCCACACTGAGTGGGCATAAATTGTCTACAGAGCTTGCTTTTAAATTAATCTCAGCTAATTCTGCTGCAGGTGGTGGTATCTGGATGACACTTGGGAACCCTGCTAAGATGGGCAGTGGGTTCTTCTGGTGTTCCTTTGTGTTTTATGCACTCAGTCACCTGGGAATGTTGTGAATACAGTGTGACTGTGCATAAAGAGCTAGAACAGAGTTCTCTCTGTTCTAGGGAACATTCTAGGGGAACTCACGGGGTAAAGTTAGAGCACAGACATGCTGGGAATTTGATCAGCTGCCTCCGGTCATGAGAGCACTTTGTACACTCCTGTGACAGCTTCATTTTAGGAGAGAGTGATTTCTGCAGGAAGAACACTGGCCTGGGAGACTGAAAACCTGGGTCTGGCCTAAATTCTAAAGTTCCTTCTTTGGGTGACTAGTGCCAGTTACTATGATTACTGAGTCTACCACTTACTGGTTGTGCAACCTTGAGCATTGTACCAGCCTGATGTCAGCCATACAACAAACATCATATTTACCTCAGAGGGTTGTTGTGAGGATAAAATGAAAGCGCATTTGCAGGGTGCTTAGCATGGAGCCAGACACAAATTAGCACTCAATGGATGGATGGTACAGGAGTCACTAGGGTGGTAGTGATGCTGATGTTGAGAGATCTTGATAGGTCTCAGCTTCATGATCTAGAAAATGGGTAGATTGATCTCCATAATTGGGTCAGAACTTCCATAAGCTCTGCAATTGTGTGGTTCTCTGCATCCCCTTTGGAGATGGACAGGACATGTTTGATACCTCAGTAGCTTGGAGCTGAAGGTGGCGGGGCAGGAGGTACTAGGCAGAACTCTCTCCAGAAGTCTCTGTTTAACCTTGCTTCTCCTGTAGCTGCTCAGTCTCTTGTAGATCACCCAGATCCAAAGAGCCTTTCTTAGCAAGTTTATAGCCACAAGTAACACACAATGCTCTCAATTTTGATTGGGCTGTTGTGTGGAAAATCCGGGAGATGCTAGCTAACTGACAATCTTATGCAGGCAGTGACAGCCCCAGGCCCTGATTCCAGTGCCTTCGTGGTAACTGTGGGTCACAGGACTCAGGGCCCCCAGGCTGGTTTAATCCCAGATTGGCATTCCATGCTTAAGATCAGATCCTTCCATAAGAAATTAAGCTCTGCTCTAGGTTTAGCTTAGAATCCTCTCCCCAGGGTCACAGGGGATGCGGGGAGAGTATGGAGCAGATGTCTTTGCCTCGGGTAGCTTTGTCATTTGCTATCTCTGGATAACCATGGATGAGAAGTGGCATCCACCTTTACAAGGTTATTATGAGAATTAAAAAAGCTAATGCATGTAGAATGTTCAGTGCAGCACCTGACTTATTGTAGATGTTCAGATAGTGCTAATTTATATTTCCTTTTTCTGGACTGAGTTGGGGAAAATGCTTTAAACCAGTCCTGATGAGGAGAAAAGATAATTATGCTCCAATAGACATATTACCCACATGAGGATCAACTGCTAGGGCACTTCCTGTGCCTAGAACTTGGGGGCTTGGGCCATGCAGTTAGCAGTGGTCCTGTGAGTACACACCTGAGAGGCTCCTAGACTGGGACCTGTCTCTGATTCAGGAGCTGAAGGCCTGGTGGGGGTGCCCTGTGTTGGGGATGGCAAACTGCCTGGGGACCGAGAGGTGCTTCTCTGGGGCTATTAAAGCCCATATGAAGAGAGAAGAGTGATTTATATTTTATTACAATCTGAAATAATGTTTCTATGCCAAGTTGGACTTGTCTATCTCTTGGGCCAGGGCTGCAGGGATTGGCTTCCTGATAGTGATCCTGGGAATTTCACTGCTCATCGGCTGCTGGTATTGTAGAAGACGAAGTGGATACAGAAACTTGACGGTTGGTAGAGTTCCCACTGCTGGGGGATCCTTTCAGATCAAGGACTCCTTTTCTGCTCCTTTCTCTGAATTTTTGGGGAAAGGGATAAAACATTCTCATGATCATCTCTAGCTTTGATTCCTGCTTCTGATTAATCTTTCCATACTTTATACTTCTGAGAATTCTTCCTTTCCTTATGCCCAGACATGAACTCCAATCAGGAACTTGCACAATTTCTTTAGTTGTACTTGAAGCAAACTTAAGAACTTGGCTGCCATGAATAGCTGAGTACTAGTGTTCAATGGGGGCACACAGAAAAGGGCTTGTGATCACCTGAACAGCAGAACATTAGACTCCTCAGATTTACCAGTGCTTTGGGATATTCTCCCTGGTTGTTACTCCCTATAGTGGACTGCTTCTCCTATCTTGTCTCTTTTACATCTTTCATCCTGGGTAACCTAGGAAATTCCAGGTTCTCCTAACTTTCTTACTACATAGCCTGGGTATCCAAAACCCCTCTGGGCATCAGTACAATGAGAAGACCATCCTCCTCTCAGAGGTTCAAAGCATCCCTATTTTATTATTTATTTTTAACAAGCTCCATTCTCTTTAGGTGATCAATGTGGTTTAATAGTTATCTTTTTCTTCTTTATCCCAACAAACAGGATGCTAATACAACAACCCTATCTGCTCTTCTGGCACTGGGTGCTTCTTCCCCACGAGTGGGAAACATCAACTGAGTCTATAATTGTAATTCTCCCTCTCTTATTAATACACCTGGAAACTTTGGAAAAGTATTGTCTTTACAGAAGATGATGAAAAGTCCCATTCTTTATTCAGCAAAGGCTGTATGAACGAGTGCAGGATTGGTGCCTGTGGGTCTACAGCTTGGCAGTATGAAGAAAAGGAGGAGAAAGCAAGAGATGCACCTTCCAACACTTTCCTTCCTTGGCAAGACACTGGGCAGTTTTGTATCTTCTTTTCCCTAATGCCCTTCTTACCAGTGTTTTTCCATATACAAACCATGAAAAACTGGGCAAATTTGGGGTCTGACACATCACAAGCAGAGCCCTCTAGTTGTGTTCGTATTCAGTGGGAAAGAGGAGAAGGTGCTGAGTCTGAATAAGAGGGCTGCAAATCAACACTGGATCAGGAGGTTAGTGACAGGACTGGGGCTCGTGTGACAAGTGCCTCTGCACTACAGTTTAATAGAGGGACTTTGCTTTCTGTCATAGAACTTCATTTGTACCTCTAGCATGAGTGAATGACAATAACCCTATAACTGGTTATTTACTTTTTGCCTCTTCCATCCATTCACAGCTACCTTCTCCCCCCAATTTATGAACCAGGACACTGTACCTCCAGTGCTTGGCACATAGCAGTCACACAGTTGTGTGGCATCAGTATTTGGTCTCATTGCCTACCCCTGACTTACTTTGCAACCTTAGATTTTAATTTCTCCAAGCTTCATTAGCTCTATTCTACACTTAGACATGGTAGAAATATGTGATATAATACAAAGTTTATCAGTTTTTATTTAATATTTATTTCTTCTGTTTTTGATTCATCATATATTTGTATTTAGAGATCCACAATGGTTTAATCTTTCAAGGAGTATGGTCACACAAACTTAATATGTTGGTACGTACTTCCTAACCATCTGCAATTATTAGCTTGATGTAACTGAACACAAAGAATGATTTTTCTCCTTTCTGCTTCAACACTCATTTTAAATTCATTCAATTTGAAGAATAACAGAGAATCTTAATGCCATGTGCTCAGACACTGTGAACATTTTTGGTTGGTAAGGTCCAAGTTCAATTTCCATTCCTCTAGGATTAAATCAGTGATTCAAAGAGTTTCTGAAAAAAAAAATTGGTATGGGGGGGGTGTTGGGGAAGTGGTACTGAGGATTGAATCCAGGGCCTCACACATGCTAGGCAAGGGCTGTACCACTGAGCTCCAGACCTTTTTTAAAAACATCTATTTTGAGACAGGTTTTGCTACATTTCCTAGGTTGGCCTCAAACTTGCCAACTTCCTGCCTCAGTTTCCTGAGTAGCTGGGATTGCAAGTGGGTACCACCATGCCTGGCTTGGAATTTTCATGAGATAAAAAATTTTGTGTTTGAATTCCATGATTTCTCCAGTGCCTAAAAAAAATTGCTGTCATACTTGTTTTTAAAATTAACATTAAAATCTTGTTTTGAGACTTTCATATCTCTAGGAGAGCCAGGTTGGGAATCAGCAGTCTAAGATATTTAGGTAAAATTATGAAAGATAGTGCTGTAAGTACTGCAATTTAAGTACATAATTACCTCCCTTTTTCTCTTCAGTGATTCTATTTCTATTTTAAAGCAGAACAACATAAATGACAGTAAACACAAGCTTTGGGTACCTGAGACTTCAGCGATCTTCACTTGACTTTGAAATGTGTAATTTACAACTTCCATTGACCACAGTATGGTAGCAAGGTTGGTTAAAATTTAGATCACCTAAAATTTCTCCTTTGGTTAACAATTCCCCTGAGCCCCACAGATCACCTTTTGAAAGGAAAGACTGCTTCTGGCAGCAACATGTTTCCACATCAGGGAGTGGGAAATAATTTTTGAGGAACTGGACACTGGTTTTTATACATACTTGTTTTACATTTTGACTTGGAAATTTAGTACACAATACTTTTGAATTGTGGATTAGAATTTCAAGGTATTAGGTTTCTCAATGCATGCTCAGGAGCCACCTGCACTGAAATCATCTGGAATTCTCACTAAAATGCAAAATCGGGGAACATCTGTGGTGGTGGGATCTAGGAATCTGCATTTTAGCATGCACACTGAGTTTGAGTGAAATGCAGAAAATGGGTAGTAAACTGGGAAAGTGAATCACACTCCTATTCTATGATAGTTCAGAGACTTAGAAGAAAAAAACATCAATAATTGATGAAGGCAGCTTTCTTCCTTTCTTCTCAGTATGCTTTTTATTTCCCTTTCTTGTTGCATTAGCTAGAACTTCCAGTACGATGTGGAAAAGGAGTAGTGAGAAAGGACATATTTACTTTGTTCCTGATATCAGTGGGAAAATTTCAAGTTTCTCATCATTAAGTATACTGTTAGCTATGTTTTTTGGTACATGTTCTTTAGCAAAGTTGAGAAAATTTCCCTCTGTTCCTAGTTTACTTACAATTTCAATCATGAATAGGTATTGGATTTTGCTCTTTCTAACATCTATTGATATGACCATGTGATTTTTCTCCTTTAGCCTCTTAATGTGCTGGATTACATGAATTGATTTAACATGAACCAAATTGCTTGTATACCTGAGTAAATCTACTTGTTTATGGTGTCTAACTTTTTTTTTTTTAACACATTGTTGAGTGTGATTTGCCAATATTTTCTTGAGGACTTTTGAATCCATGTTCATGAGAACTAGTTTCTTTTCTTGTCCGGCTTTGGTATTAAGGCAATACTATTTGGTATTAAGGCAATACTATTTGGTATTAAGGCAATAATATTAATACAGTGGATCTTGTTTTTGACTCATGCTCAGAGAATGAGTTAGAAAGTACCCCTCTGCTTCTTTCTTATGAAACAGATTATAGGGAATTGAAATAATTTCTTTCTTAAATGTGTGGTAGAATTCACCAGTGAACCCACCTGGGCCAGGTGCTTTCGGTTATCGAAGGCTACTAATTATTTTTTCAATTTTTATGATGAATATAGGCCTAACATGGTTTATTTCTTCTTGTGTGAGTTTTGAAAGATTGTGTCTTTCAAGGATTTTGTCTAGGTTTTCAAATTTGTGAGCATAGAGACGTTCACAGTATTTCTTGATTACCATTTTACTGCCCACGAGATCTTTAGTAATGTCCTCTTTCTTTGTGTTTTCTTTTTCTCTCTTACTTACCCTGTCTCAAGGGCTTTCTTTATTGCCTTGGCCTACTAATTTGCTGGACTTATAGGCATTTGTCATTATTCTCAGTTTCCTGTTTTCTTTTGATTAGTGTTAGCATGATATATCATCTCTCTCCATCCATTTACTTTCCACATACATGTGTCTTTTACAGTGGATCTTGTTTTTGACTCACATTGACAATCTAATCTGTTAACTAATGCATTAAACCATTGACATTCAAAGTGATTATTGTAATAGCTGGGATCAGTATCTACTATATATGTTACTGTTTTATATATTTTTTGTCCTTGTTCTTTGTTCCTATTTTTGTCTTCCATTCTTTTTCTGCCTTATGTGGTTTTAAATGAACATTTTATATGATAGCATATATGGAATTTCATATATGATTCTTTCTTTTCTAAGTATATACCTTTTAAAATTAAATTTTTAAGTGGCCGCCCTATAGTTTGAAATATATATTTTTAATTCATGTCTCCTTTACAGGTAATGTGAATACCTCATCCTAACAAAATCATCTAGTATTTCCTTCTCATTTGTTGCATCATTTCACTTATATATAAGAATATATAATTAAATACATTGTTATTATTCTAACTAGTTGCTATGTTTGATCAATTAAGAATAAAAAAAATAAGTTTTCACTTTACCTTCATTTATTCTTCAATATTCTTCCTTTCTATATGTAGATGTGAGTTTCTGGTCTGTATTTTCCTTCTTTCTAAAGAACTCAACATTTCTTGCAAGGCAGGTATACAGGCAATGCATTCCCTCACCTTTTATTTGCCTGAGAGAGTCTTTGTTTCACCTTCATTTTAAGGACAATTTCATAAGAAGTTCATTTTATAGATTCAATCTTCTCCTTCCCTTCAAAAATATTAATAGGTTACCAACCTGGTGTCAAGCACTTCACCAATGCTTTTCATTTAGTTAATTCCTACAACTCTGAGAGATAGGTGGTATTATCTTCCTATTTCTGATACAAAAACTGTAAGTCAGAGAAGTAAAGTGACTAGCTTGAGGATACAGAGCAAATAAATTGCAGAACCTCAATTAAAAACTATTCTTAAGACTTAGCCTCATCTTTTATTTAACAGACTCAGTTATTTCTTGCTCATTCACTTTTATGAATTTCTATTGCAGGACAAAAATCTTCATGCTGGAATTCAAACTAACTTGAGGGAAAGATGTCCATATGAAGGGCTTGGTCATCAGGACAGCAAACTGTCTTTTCAAAACCAAAACTGTGATCCTCAGGTAGGCTGAGATCATGCATCTGGATATTTTTCCATATGATTGCTTTTAGCTCAATTGAACAAAATGATTTCTATTGAAAAAGCAAGGACAGAGTAAACATATTTACTGATATTAAAATGTAGATCTAAAAATGATCAAAATGGTAAATTTTGTTATGCATATTTTAGTACAATAAAAATGAGTTATCATAAATCAAAAACCAAATTATATCTTTTAAGTTTTATTTTGATACTGGGGATTAAACCAAGATGTGCATAACCACTGAGCCACATCCCCAGAGACAGAGTCTCACTAAGTTGTTTAGGGTCTCACTTGGTTGCTGAGGCTGGATTTGAACTCACAATCCTTCTTCTTCATCCTCCTGAGCCACTGTAATTACAGGCATGCTCCATCATGACCAGCTAAATTGTATTTTTTCATACTCAGATTTTCCAGGGTCAATAATGAGAGCCCTACACATAAGACCCAAAGAAGAAATTGGTTTTAGATAACATATCCTTGTGTTGTAGGTTGTGTTTTTAGTTACATTTGCCCTTTTCATCAATGTAGATACATAAAGAGGAGGAAAAAAGTATCTAATATTAATTGCATACAGCTGTGCTTTAATAATGCAGTAGCCACTAGTCATGCATTTTTATGGAGACTTGGAATAGTAATTTGAATTAAGACATACTATAATACACATCCTATTTCAAAGACAGCGTATATGAAAATCATTAATGATTTTACTATTGATTACATGTTGAGATGACTATGTTTTAATATGGCAGGTTAAATAAACTATTTTATCAAGATTAATTTTTATCTGCCTTTAAAAATGTAGTTACTAGAAATTTTTAAATGGCATATGTGGCTGGCACTATATTTCTATTAGATGGTACTGGTAGAGAAGCAATGGAACATAATGCTTGAAAGCACTGACTCTGAAGCCAAATGACTGTATTTGAGAATTAGCTTCATGTCTTACTGGTTGTGTGATCTTGGGTGAGTAACTTCTCTGTGCCTCAGTTTTCCACTCTGCAACATTTCCTAGAATGTTAAGCATGAAATGAAGGACTGACACATTTTTGCTCAGTTGGTAGTATAAATGTACCTTTGGACACAACTACAAAGATCTATGTGGTAAAGATTCAGTGTATATTATCTGTAAACAGAATTCAAGTATTCATTAGTTAGGACTTGGGACTTCCAGGTATAAGTACACTTTCAGGTTTTGAGAAAACCCTTAGTCCTATTTTTTTTTTTTATCCTTCTCTCTGACAATGTTTCAATGTATATATTTACCTAGCTGGGTGGAAATTAGATGTGAACACTCAGAAGTTTCCGTCTACAGCAGAAATATAAACATGATGCTCTTTTGACTTAATGCCTCCCCAGAAATAGACATGGTTGCCAAAGCCCCACGTTCTCCCTTTCTCATTCTCACAGGTCCCTGAGGCTCCTCCTGCTTATGAGAAACTTTCTACAGGACCGTCACCTCCACCTTACTCACCCTGAGAGCCAGCAAAGCCATCTGAGAAGTGCTGAAATGCTTTCCCTCACACTTCTGCTTTAACTTACTTTTGACATCTAATGTTCTACTTTAAAATGAACAACAATGTACATATCTAATAGGCCAGTGTTACATTCGTAACAGGACAACTAGCAGTACTAATCAAGTGAGGAAATGATGAAAAATATTAAAATGGAAAGGCTTCATCAATATCTACTGTCTGTACTAGTAGTAATGCTATTAAATCCACTATTTTATGAATAATAGAACTCAAGTGGGTGTTCTGGGACTATCTATTTCTTTTGAAATTCGGCTAACTTACAAACTTTTATTCAGATTTTTAAAGTAGCAACCTCTTGACCAACATGAAAAGTACAGAGAATGGTGGCAGGTGTTATAGCCTGCTCACAAAGGACACTTACAAGCTTAAAACTAAGAACTGAAAGACCTACTTATCTGATCTGGACCATGTCAGCCACACCGCTTCATATATAATAATACACCCTAAAGATCCCCACCTTCAGTAATATATATAATGAAGTTATAATTACATTTTACTTTAAGGGTCAATGTTATCATAATTAAGGATAAGAATCTTCTCTTAAACCAAAAAAGTGGTTTAAGGATTTAAATAAGCAGAAGTCACTAGAGTTTGACACTGTCTGTGTACAGTCTTAAGTGTCCCCATGGCAGTTTAGCTTTTTCAGGTTCCAGAATCTCTCAAACAAGAACATACAAAAGAAACCATAAAGGATAAGAGATCATGGAGCCGTGTCATTATTTGTATAGCAACAGTGCAATTTGCTTTTCTGCATGTTCACATATCACACTATTTATTATCTAGTTTTTTTAGTTAGCACATTAAATAAAACATTTGGCCAAAATAAAATAAAAAATAAATAAAATATTTGGTCAAAATTGATACCCACTACCTTAAATGGAAAACTAGCATCATGTTCCATAAACAGAGGATAACTATAAAAATGAAGATAATAAAAGCAGATTATTTTTATTAAAACCTAGGAAGACATTGATGGTTGTAGAAAGCTGTGAACCTGAGACCTGCTTTCTTGGCTAAAGAGGGAAATTACCAAGAGTCAGAGAAAACTTACAGGCTGCTGTTGACATAATCAGGTTTGCAAGTTTTAAAACAATGGCTTTATCACTGTGTGATCCACTGTTATTTAATGCTGAGTTGCTAAACCACCTAAAATCATTTTGTGTCACTGGAAACATAAGCATAACATTAACCAAAGAAATTAGGCTGAAGGAAAATAATAGAATAAAAAAATGACATTCAACAAAATATGAAAATTTTTTTCTGCCTTTTCCTGATTCTTTCAGGACTTACCAGTTGATAATACTCCCCTTCCCTGCCCTCTTTAAAAAAAAAATCCAAATAGAGAAAACTTCATTAGACATCTGGCCATCTCCTTCCCTCATTGGAAGGTCTCACCTGAGCTTCAATCCTCCACATCAACAGAGGGACCGGTGGCTTGAGTCCTAGACCTCTCCAGGACTCCCAGACTGACACCCACTGATGGTTCACTCCTTTCCACGTTGAAGGTCTGTTCTCACAGAGTCCCTCAAACAGTGTTCCAGGTGATGGACATGGTGGACTGGGCTGAGTCCGCCAGAGTAAAACTGTGAGAGTAAGATTTTATTGGAAGAAAAAAGAAGTACAAGATTCAGAAAGACCAGCTCTCCTCACAGGGGAAGCCTCACGTCTGCAGATAACTTCCTGGACTGGGAACCAGGTTCAGGGCAATCCTTGGAGGCACATGCTAAAGATGGAAAGGTCAAATGACACAAGGAGCCTGGGTAGTGATCACTGAAGGAGAGTCTTCCTAAACTGGGAATGCTTAGATTGAAGGGAGAAACTAACTGGCCTCATAGAAAATTCATGAAATGTCCACTGACATTCTAATAAGGAAAACCATGGCTATTCCTGGATCTGTTGAGGCCCTTCAGTGTTCTACACCTGCTACTGAACTCAGAGAAGAGAAACAAGGCGGGGAGTCCTCATGGAAGGGGAATCCTTGTGACCTTTGTGTAGGTTAGGATCAAGTTTCCCTGCTGTTGAAGGAAACTTGAACTCAGAATGAGCCTCCCTATGTACATGGGTACCCGAATCCTCAACTGCAGCTTGCCCCACCTTTCTGCCCTGACATGCTTTGGGGCAGAGAATGAGGGACGACATGGCAATACTTTAATACTCAAGGCCTCCTGCAGGGCCAGGTGGGGACCAGCCTGGTCAGAACTCATGACTGGTCTTTCTCTACCTATGATTGGTGTTTTCCACTTACCCAAATGCATTGTATAAATCCCACTTTCTATTTGTGCAGTGAGTGGAACAGAGTTAGCATTGTTTTATAGAACCTCATCTGCCTCCTCCTCCACCATCCTCAATGGTGTTGTCTGATGCTAGAATCAAGGTTCAAACTTTTCTGGATTTTTTTTTTTTTGGAGATACTGATGTAGTTATTATAGTAAACAGCAGGCATAATTTAAGGAGGGGAAAAACTAGCCAAAAGACTTTCTGCCCAAATGAAGTTAGTGAGATTAGACTATGACACCTTCAAAATTACCTCTTCTGAAGTTACAAACATTGAGTTTGGCAGCATTTAGTAAATATCCAGACAGGTCCACTTGTCACTTTAGAGTACTGAAGATTTTGTCTAAAAAGAACAGAAAATAGTCCCCTTTCATTTCATGGCTTCACTTCAAGGGCCCAGCCACTCAAAGAGGCATCAAAATTTCCTCAATCTCAAGTGATGACAAAAGCATTTTAAAATTTAGAACTTCAGAGGGATTTCTCCCATTGATGGTTTAAATGAAAATACTCATTTTTAAGAAAATCTAAAACTGCTCTCCCAAAAAGCTGTGAGAATAAAGAAAGAATGTGGAAAATTGGGGAACAATTTTTTTTAAAAGCCCAACAACTTGAAAATATGAATTAAAGAGGTTATAAATGATATAGCGCCCTTTACAGCCACTGGGGAAAAAATACCAAAGATGATCCCTGCCTGCCCTCGCTAGAAAAGATTACACTGCTGGTGGCAACTTGCAATTAGACCAAGAGAAAACAAGAAATTTGAGAGCCTCTAGATTGCCAAACAAAGGTCAATTTGAAGAAATACATTGATGCTGTTAAACATTTCCTTGAAAAGGATTGAGGGAGAAAAATAAGGACTATTTAAAAAGTTAAGAAAATCAAATAAATCACAGTTCAAAGGAATGGTCTCCAAACTGAATAAGTATCATCTAGACTGCAAAGTGGAGTTTGTCTTTTTTTTTTTTTTTTAATTTGGTAAAGGGGAATTGAACAAGGCACTTTACCACCGAATTGTATCCCTAGTCCTTGTTTATTTTTTGAGATAGGGTCTCACTAAATTACTCAGATTAGCCTAGCTTCTCGGCAGAGTTTGGTTGAAAGTGAGATTCAATAAATGGATGGTATCAAACTAAAAATCTTCCTCAAGCAAAGGAAACAATCAAGAGCATGAAGAAGGAGCCTACAGAATGGGAGAAAATCTTTGCCACCTGCACCTCAGAGAGGGCATTAATTTCCAGGATATACAAAAAACTCAAAAAGCTTAACACCAAGAATTACAAATAACCCAATTAATCAATGGGCAAAGAAACTAAATAGACACTTCTCAAAAGAAGAAATATGGTAAAAAAATATATGGAAAAAAATTTCAATATCTCTAGCAATTAGAGAATGCAAATTAAAACTACACTGGAATTTCTCTTCACTTCAGTCAGAATGGTAATTATCAAGAATACAAGTAACAATAAATGTTGGTGAGAATGTGGGAAAAGAGTACACTCATACATTGCTGGTGAGACTGCAAATTGGTACAACCACTCTAAAAAACTATATGGAGATTCCTCAAAAAACAAACAAACAAAAACTAGGAATGGAATCATTATTTGAACCCAGTTAATCCACTCCTTGGTATATACTCAAAGGACTTAAAATCAGCATACTACAGGGACACAACCACATCAATGTTTATAGAAGCTCAATTCATTAATAGTTAAGCTATGGAGCCAACCTAAGTGCCCTTCAACAGATGAATGGACAAAGAAAATCTGATACACACACACACACACACACACACACACACACACACACAATGGAATATTACTCAGCCA